GTGGAGAAGCACGTCACAGCTGAGAGCCGTTAACCAATATGCAAATTAGCCTGCAGTACCACTGCTCCCATATGCACAGCAAAAAGACGTTTTTAGACCAMATATTACAGATTTGAACAAATACACACAAAAACATCACAATTAGCACAGAAACAGTACTATGTAACATTTTAGACACATTCTAGACAGTTTATCAGCTAAAAAAGTTAATTTTGGGGTAACCTACTCTTTAATGACCGTGGCATATAGGCTATTGAAAACACATCAAACAAAAAGTTGAAGGCAAAAGTGAAGAAAACCCAACAAAAAAGACTAAAATTATTCGTAAATATAGGCTAATACAGACTTTATCAAAAAATGGGTAGTAATGGGATTAACTATTCAACAAAGTATAAAACTGTAAATTGTGTTATTGAGTGTTTGTGTTGGTGGAGGTAGTTTAATTGTGTAAAAGTTCTAGGAAATTTTAGATGCTTAAGCTGTCAGAGAAAATAGTGTTAGGAGTGGAGTGGGATGTGTTTATTTTTGAAAAGAAGTTTTTTTTTTTTTGCACGAGACATTTCACCACTCATAATGGAGAGCCAGCAGGGGAATGTGTAAATACCATAATGACTGGCTCAAACAGTATAGAGCAAGTTGTATTTTCTAGTCATTCTGTGTCATTAGATTTCTCAGACTAGTTTATTTTGTTACATACAAACGGTGTTCAGTAAATTTCAAATAGGGCCTATAATCTCAGATAAAGTTAATCTCAAAGACTAAGTCACAGTTCTACTTTTCAATAAATGTATAACAGTTATATGTTTTCATTAATCCCAAGTAGTTAGAAAAATGCACTTCAAATGGCTGAAAAATGCAGAGTTTTGAGTAGATTTGCTTTTCTAAATTTTCTGTGGGGTATTCATCAGGACCTTCCTGCGATCACTTCATGCTGCTGGCATGTGCTAATACATTTCCTCATTGTCACCAGCACGTCGGCAGAAATGTAAATGTTAGTCATAACCTAATCGTATGATTTGTTTGACAAGGTCTTTACTTGTTAAACTGTAAGCTGCATTTCATTTAGTTGTAATGCAAACAATAAAAATTAAACCAAGATTTAGATCAATTATCACTTTGATCAGTATTGTTGATGTCCTGTTTTAGACTGTGAAGACATGAGACTGGCACTGGTTGCAGATTTTTTTTTCTCATGGGACACCCACTTTACAKTGACATCAATATTTATATGGAACTTGACCTTCAATTTGTAGATGGTACCAGGGCTCACTTTAAATAGCTAGAAATGATCCTGGGGCACGGACCMTTTTTAAATCAAATGTGGCATGCTCGGATCGGGTACCAAGATTTGAATAGKATTTCATGGGCACAGTTAACAAACTCAACTCTGCTATTCAAATCGCCAATGTTTTTTGTTTTTTTTAATAAATGCTGCACTATTTCAGGATAATCTAAGTAGCTTTTCAAAAATATAAGATTTATTGACAAAAACAGGAAATAATCAAGCAAACACAAATGTCTTTACATTTTGTACTTAAGGCATGGCCCTCAGATATTTTTCTTTAATTACATATATAATTAATATATGGACTTATATGGAGGGACCTGTGYATAACATCTTTGACCTTGTGAAGACCTTGTGACCTGTCCAAGGTGTACCCCTTTGTCAGCAGTGAGATCTTGAAGTTCTATATTCCTTTTCAGCTGTACTTTACTTATTAAATGAGTTTAGCTTTGTTTTATGATCATATTGGAACACTAGCTGACAAACAGCAGCTTTATTTAACATAAAACATTTGGATTAAAGGTGTAAATTGCTAAAACATATGTATGATCATATGTARTGTAGTCCTGATACAATCGCAGGAATGTAAATCTGAATTTGCTGATGATTAGTGTGTGTGACAGCACACAGCTGTCTGTCCCTGTGCCCTGTGATTTATTGCTCCCTCCACAACCTCTAAACTAGCTCAAGCAGGAAGAGAATGAATGAACTTCTCGTGCCTCAAAATCGTGTAAGAAAAGATGTAAACAATCTGACAACCCTGTTTAAAACCAGACATGCAAAAACTTTATTACCTGCTGTTTAAGAGGCATTGTTTTATGCCTCCAGGCTTTCATTTTCTAACCACGAGTTCACACACGTTCTCAGCCACTTGTCACTGGTACGTCTTCCATTAAACATGTGCTCAGGAAGCTCCCAGCTGCTCTGCCACACAGAGTGGAATCAGCTAATGAAGCTGTGTATACAACAAACCCGTGCCACAATCTGTCCTGTCTGTTGTGAAGTTCTGCTGTGTCAAAATCAGAATCTGGTGAAAGGTTTCTGCTGCGACTTGCCGCGCGCAGTTTTCAGAGTTGAAACTAGCACGGCATCTGGGAGTTAAGCTCATCCGTCACGATGAGATGAATAGTGTCGTGTTCTGGGTTTTCCATGATGCCCAGCTCACAGGAAGTGGCTTCACATCATCACCAAAAAGCTTCTGAAAAGGTCCCTCGGAGGTTTAGGATGTGAAACTGGCATTCATTCACATCCCAGAGCTGGGGGAGTTTTCTTTWACACATCTTTTTGAAGGATTTTCGTTTCTACCTGTTGAGAACTGTAGCCAGCGTGAGTCATCAGTCTGTGTCAGAGCCATTTTTCCTTTGCTTCCACAAAGATCATGAGCGGTGGGACTTTGGGCCTCTGTCACCGTAGGCAACCAACTGCAATCTTAATCATTGCTTTGACAGCATTTTAGCACCATCCTGTGGCAAAATGAGGAATTATTTTGAAGAAGCAAATCCCTTGCACATTTCCTGGCTCTTGCATTGCCATGCGTCTAGATATAAAAACATTAAACTGGCTCATCTTAATTAAAAAACAACAAAAAAGCTCAAAAGTGAGAAGAAAAGTAAAGTTGGATTTCACCAGATCCTGAAGCTCTGTAGCCTGCTGCTTTGGCTTTCAGCTCACAAAAAGATAACTCAGGGTCCAAACAGAACAGAGTGGATCTATACTGGWCACAAAAAGCACTCAAATATCATTGATCAGCCGACACAACTGGCTGAACTGGAATGTATCGTGAAAATATTAATATGAGATTACAATATTATCTATCTTTGATAAAAGGAAGCCAAGTGAGGCCCTCTGGGGGGAAAGAAATTGGTTGAAGACAAATGTCCATCTGCCAGGCGGACAGTAATCTCAGCTCTCTCGTCCCCGAGTGAGAGAAGCTCCTCAGTCGCAGCTGCTGACTGGGAAAAAAAAAGAAAGTTAAATCTCGCTTTTACACTTTTCCCACTAAAAAAAGGGAGAAATGTTATTTTGGAGAATTGTATCAAGTAAATAAGTGACATTTGAGAAATATTCACTTTATTTCCCTAATGAAATGTATTTGAAAGTAACACAATAAAGTGGTTTGAGGTGGTTACACAAACAGCTTCACATGTGAGGATTTTTTTTTATTTTATCTTTTCCTTATAATTATCTTTATCAAACAGAAACTTTTATTCAAACACAGGGTGAAACTTTTTCAGAACCAGAGAAGAGAACAAGGTATTTGAATAGAAATCTAAGTTTATCACTTAACACTTTATTAGTTTTTAATATAGGCTGTATATTATACATGTAAATTAGTTTTCATATTTACACAAAACTTGTTGGTTTCAGCAATCAGACAACGAAGGAGAAACAAAAACAGTGACTTGTCAGCTTAGCCTAGCATAAAAGCTTGCGCTACACCAAAAGTTTATTGACAAACAGCATTAAAATGTACACATTTAGCATTTATTAAAGCAAAATTCTCAATATTTTTAAATGCCATGTCACATAGAAAATGTGGGAGTTTTTTTCTGTCTTTCTTTATATTTTTACATCCTTAGACTAAGCTATTAGCAACATAGTGCTGGTAACTACCTAATTTGTTTTAAGCTTTGAAAATGTAGCRTCCTTTTATTCTTTTGTTGTGTGAAATTCAGTAAAATACTTCTGGTATGCCATGTACTATATATTAATCCTTTAACAACTCTTTCTTTTGATTACATTTTTGTGATACAGTATCTCATATAAACCTTGCATGTATTAGATAAGACCAGGGCTTGATTAACTTCATTGGCATCTGGAGCGGATGGTATTCACAGCAGTCATTTACCATTAATTCTGTTAAGCCAGAGTGTTAAGCCAGTGGCAAGAAGAGTCTATTTCCTGGAGAATACTGAAGCAGGGCCGCTATGGATGATCAGAGATCTCCACGATTGCCAGGTCCTTGAGGTCACTGAGTTTTCGAGAGAAGGAGCTCAGCCTGGTGCTGAAGGAGCCTCTCTTCTGGTGGTGCTCCTCCCTGCGGGCCTTCAAACAAGCGCACAGGCCCTTACAGAGGTCCCCAAGACGGTGCCGGAAATGGTTTCCAATGAAGCAGTAGAGCACAGGGTTTATGGCAGAGTTGGAGAAGCCCAGACAAAGTGTGAGAGGGGTGAGGTTGTTTATGGTCCATGTTATTGAGCATCCATCCAGCCACCCCTTGTTTTTCAAAATGCTTAAGAAAGTCACGCAATGAAACGGGAACCAGCAGATGAAAAATGCCAAAACCACTGCCGCTACTGTCATCAAAACCCTCTCTATCCTACCACCCGGTGGAGTTCTGTCCTCACTGGAGCTGGGACAAACACTGGGAGTAGGGGGTCTCTCTGTTTTCCAATGGCTTTCCTTGGTCGACTTGTTTGGAGGGTGTAKCGGCATCTGCGTTGTCATCAAATCTCTGCAAGCCAACAAATGTCTCCCAATCGCACAGTAGCAACAAGAAATGGCAAACAGAGGAAGCAGAAATCCTAAAATGATCTTCAGCAACAGCAGGCCCAGAAACCAGGTATCATCAGGGTAGAAAATCCCACAGGCCTTCACGTCAAGCTCCTTAATATGTATCGTGTCCCTCAGAGCCAAAGTAGGAGCTGTGCAGGCGCATGCCAGAAACCATACCAGGACGCACGTCAGGCAGGCGATATTGGGATTCCGTGCACTCAGAGAGCGGAGAGGATGCACGATGGCCAAGTAACGGTCCACGCTCATGCTAGTGATAAAGAAAATAGACGCGTAAATGTTGAGGTTCAGGAGAGCTCCGCAGATCTTGCAGGCTGCCCTGCCAAAGGGCCAGTTGTAGCTTTGGGAGTAGTAGACCGCCCACAGCGGGAGAGAGAGCAGGAACAGCAGGTCAGAGACACACAGGTTCAGCATGAATATGTCAGCCACCGTTCTCCGCAAGTTACTGCCACAGGCTAATACAAACACCGCCAAGGCGTTGGCTAAGGTCCCCACCAGGCAGATGATGCTATAGACGGTGGGGATCACTGTTGTAAAAGGTACAGGAGACCAGTCTGTGCAGGGGGCTGAAGGAGGGGCTGAGGAACCGTTCACATAGACCTCTGCAGTTGGATAAAAGGAGGGGGTGGCGTTGAAAAAGGAGAGGTCATTCAAGATAGCCATAATGAAACTAGATGTTCCCTTATGTCAGAAAACTTGACTTCAGCTTCTTTCAGACATCCAAGATCAGCTGGAAATGAAACAAAACAGGGCAGTTTTTAGAATCGTGTTCTCCTTTTATAGACAAATATGTTTCTTTACACATTATTCTTCAGCTGGCTGCTGCGATTATTATGTTTCCTGTTTGATAAATTAWCTCAGATAAATTCATTACACCATGCTGCAAGTTAACAGCAATGAAATACTTTGGAAAGAGTTCTAATTATCCGACTGCCTATTGGATYCCTGAGAAATGGCTGTATTGTGTAAATGGCTAAGTTTAATAAACATTTGTGATTTAAATGAAAAAGACTGGAATTAATTTAGGATTTAATGGGTTTACAGAAATCATAAAAATCAAATAAATAAATAAAAACTATCAACGTGGAATGTGCCAGGGGTGAAAATGAATAATAGCAGAAATGACAAACAATTTAAAACAGGCAACAGATTTAAAAAGATGTCAGAAAAAGTTTGTTTTTAATGAAAAATCAAACTACTTATGCATAAAAACTGAAATAGTGAGGAAATATTAATACAACTTGAGAACTAGCTCTCAAATCAGAGTTGAACTCTGTTTCATTTTATGATCTTTGTTTTGTTTTATTAAATAATCTTACCTGAAGTTATTAAGTGTCCAACCCAGAAAGTTTGTGATTTTCAGTGGGTTTCCTGRTTAAAGTCCATGTCTTGACAAACGCTCTCCTGCTCTGAAAGAATTCTGCTCAGCTGTGCTCCTCGGACCGAATCATACCTCTGAGTTTGTGTGTCTGTGTGTGTGTTTGTAGAGGRAACAGATTTGAAGCTCTGAGAACCCAGATGAGGTTGAGAGGGGTGTGCGTGTTTGTGGGGGGAGGGGGGGGGTCTTAAAGCCCCCAGGAGCCTCTTGATGATTGCACAACAAGGAAGCTGCTAGACGTCACAGCTCCATCATTACCTAGTGGGCTGGATTGTACCTGGACATGAGCCAGCCATGCAGGGGTAAAAATAAAGTTTCTTTGTATTTAACGATCTCACTCATTTTTCCACCCTCTCTCCCTCCAAGAGCCTCAACTCCAACCAGCCAAGATTGAGAAAATCAAGTCAAGATGTRTTTTAGAGCAACAGCTGCACCGCCAGTGGATACTGATGCACATACCTGATTGTAAAGAATGGAACTATTTAGTGATTGAGGTGTAGACCCTAACATCACACACACACACACACACACACACACACACACACACACACAC